CCACACCAGGACTCCAATACGAAGGTCAAATAATGAGCTTGTAGGCCAATAGTTGGTTGGTGATGCTTTTCTGTAAATCATTTGGTTTTCTCTTTGATTTGTTATTGGGAAAAATAACCCCAACAGTATAGGGAATTGACTTAGAGAGCAACTGAAGGCAGCACAACCTTTCTAAATATGTCTAGAGACCTAATTTTATGCTTCTGGAACTGTAGAAAGTGGGTCCTGGGTTTTTAACATGAGAACCAAGCTAGTTATATTGGTGCCCAAGGGTTTTTATGGGTAGCTTTAAAGAATTGAAAAATGAGCTTTAAGCCCTGGGTTCTTCCTGCTGTCAGATTTCTGAGTCTGAATTTCTTCATCTTTAAGTTGGGACCAATAATACCTACTCTGCATACATGCCAGAGGAGATTTTAGCACTAAAAGGGATAACTTCTACGATGCTAAAGTGAAAAATACAAAATGTTATCAAGTGTAACACATTCGTATCAGGGAAAATTTAAATGGCCTATCCAGTTTCAGGAATCTGTGAGTGGTGGAGACAATGAACGTGCTCTGCTGCCGGCTGAAAGGTTGGGTGGGGTCTGAGTCCACCCAGAGGCACCCTGGAAGAAATGCTTGTCAGTCTCTCTTAGAAAACTCAGCCATTGAGAACTTCACGGAGCACACACTGGGCAGCAATGAGTCAGAATCACTCCTCAGCAACTGGTTTAATACAATTCCAATTCTTGAGAAGGGAAAGACAGAGAGACAGAAATTTTTTGGAATGGCAGTGCCAGATGTTGTTAACGTGGGTCTCTTGCCTAATGAAGCATGAATAAATAAAGTTTTAATGTGCCTAAACTTTCCGCTTTTAATCAGTGTATGGTTCACTACTACATTATTTATTAGCATTGATTTCCTGAGCCAGTCCAAATTCCAGTTATAAAATCAGAAGTGTTGATGTGGTTGTGCAATAAGGATAATATTACCAGCTACCAAGGTTATCATAATAGAAAATGCCCTCTAAAAAATAAGCTCATAAATAAAGAGCTAGTTATTGTCTTAGAAAATATATTTAATGTATATTTTCTAGTATTTTAATGTAAGAGTCCTGGCGTGGTGCCGTAGAATAAGCACTTGACCTCAAGGTTGGTTTGAACCACAATATCAGCAGTTCAAACTCACCAGTTGCTCCTCATAAAACCTATACAAGGTCACTAGAAGTTGGAACCAACTAGACAGCACTTAGAGACAAGCATTTTAATGTAAGAATTATGATGAAAATAATTAGAAAAAAAAATCTATTCTTAGAGATATTATTAAATTATTAAAACCTTAAGAACAGCTAGAAATAAACAGAAACATCAGTCATTGCTCAACATGCGACTTTTCTCCTTTCAATATTTTTTAATGACTTAAGCATAAAACAACCAGCTTTCTATCATTCTAATAAAAGTTAATGTATTTCCAAATTTTCCTTTGCCTAGCATGGTG